TGCTGCTGCTGCTGTTGTTGGCAGATGTAGTTTCAAGATTTTGGTATATTTTGGTATGAAAAAAATAAATAAATAAATAATAATTTTTATTTTTAAAACTATTTTTATACATAAAAATTATTGTACGTCTATTATTTACCTTACAATTAATCCTATTCAATTCAACATATATAATATTGTTCATTGCTTTTTTTTTTTTTTACTTCTTTCCAACTTCTTACTATTTTTTTTTCTTGCTTTTTCTCATTTCTTCAATTCAACCTCATATGCTTTATGACATACATTTTATCGACATCAAAAAAGAAAAAGGGAGCAATTTATGGATTTGTTGAATAGAAAAATGCTTTTTTTATCATTATCGGCTTCAAATATTGCCAATGAAGAATTGCTAAGATTGAACTTTTTTTAAGAACGACAGTAAAGTTAATGCACCGGACAAGGACATCATTCATTGGATTTAAGCTTTTGTCTTAGCAAAAAATTTATTTCCACTTAACTGGGTTAACCTTTTTTTTTTGCTTTGCTTTTAATCCACTATGAAGTGTTTTGTTTTTATTCACTCTTTTTTTTTTTTTTTAAGAGGAGGGGAGAGGAAAGAAAAGAATAAATAAAAAGTATATTTATCACTTTATATTACAACGCAAATAAGGTAAGGTAAAATGAAAATGACAAAGAGAAAAAAGATGATTTATAAATGGTTGTGTTGACACATTTTTCCCTAAATAAAATCACCGATTTTTATCCAAGCCTTGTGACCAATTTTCCTATGACAAATTGAAATTATTCTTACAGGACTACATTTATATTATATGTAACAGGAATTACATATTTCTATAATCCTTTGTAGTAGGTTTAATTCTTGATACCAGAAACGACGAATCTGTTATACCTGGCTGCCCTAATCAACTTATACTGTTTGGCAAGATTCTGAATAGCTGGAAAAGCTGAAACAGTCTAACAAACGATAAGCAGATAAATTGGTGATAAAAATAAAGATCAAAAGCATAATTTTTGTGCTGAATAGTTGTTGTTTTTTTTTTTAATTAAACAAAATTTTTGTTAAGGTTTATTTTAGTGATAGTCAAAGGCATTTCTGCCAATAAAAAAACTGTAATTTTGTTCATATCTTTTGAAATGTGACAACTGTTTGCACTGAGACAAAAACGGATGCAATGTTTGGAAACAATTAGTGAGAAGTTTAACCTTTGGTTAGCTGATAAATGAATGCCATTAATAGTTGTGCTTTCAATTTAGGCAATTCATAAAATTATACAATGCATTGAAATACATTTTTTTTGTCATGTTTTTGCTAGATAAATTTCTTGAGCAGCTATTATAAAGCATAATAATCTGATTTAGTTGGAGTCAAAATTGTTGGAGCCTAAAATAATCAGCAATACGGCATTGGGATTGTTGAAAGTGAATATTACTATGGAATAATGTTTTGTTGGCGCTTGTCACTCGTCTAACAGCTATTTTTATTGCCTTTTTTCAAAATGCTACATTATTGTATAAAATTTTTTGAACTACGATTCTGAAAT